GCTTGTGACGTCAGCAATATAAGACATTGTGAATCATTAGGGACCAGTTTTAATCTTTTCAATTTCTTGTTCTTTCGTTTCGATGACACTAGCTATATTTTGTGCAGGCGGTGTTATAAAGTTTTTCATTTTCATTGTGTAGAGCACCTTTTAATGTATACTCCAAGGGATTCTCTACAGTTGAATGGATTTATTTGTTGTTAATTTTTAAGAAAATAAAATGAACATTAAGAAAACATTAATTGGTACTTAATTGACTTATTGTGTATCTCCAATTTTCTCTCATTCAAAGAATAACTGACTTTGTAAGATTGCCAAATGCCCATTAGAATTATTTCTATTAAAGCTCAAACATTGGATTTGAAATGAACAATTTCCCAGTTGTTGTAGTTTTTATCTGAAACATTTTATACAACAGGAAATAATAAAATCAGGATTTCAATGCCAAAATGATTCATTATCATTCTACATGTTCTAAAATATTTTATTCTGAAAACCAAGTGTAAGTAATAATTAAGACTCACATGCCCATATAGTAAAACCTGTCTAGTTGGAACACCTTGTTAGTTATTTAGTACATGTAATAAGTGTTCTACTTGAGAGGGGTTCCACTTAAAGAGGTGTTTCACTTACACATGTTTTACTCTACTGTATTAAGATTACATGATTTATTGTACATGCACTTGAAAACAATTATTGATTCAATATTTTCTAGTTAACCTTGTCTCGCTCAAATGAATTGTATCACATTTTAATGAAAAATGAATAAAAAAGAAAAAATATGTAGTGTGAAAAAATAACAGTTCTAGCATAGGAAGCTCCATGTTCCATTTTGCATTAATTAAATTGTATATCACTTTAATAATTAATATGTTCTATAAGTACATGTATTTTTATCTATAATTTCAGATATGATTCAAGAGGCAGTAGTCATGAATAAAGAATAAAGAATCGGAATTAAGAATCTGAACCCGGAACTATCAGAGACACTTAATTCAAGGGACAAGTAATGACTAGAATTGGAACACACAATTTACATTATGGAATTATTACTGTATTACTATGAAATCAGGAAATAATAATACTTTAATAGAGATATCTAAATTTTATGGTTGATTCCATCCAGTTTTGCTTCATATGCTATAATTCATAACATGGCATTTTCTTTTCTGAACAAAACAAAAAAAAAATTATTTAAATTGACAAAGTTTTGACAAAGTTATTGGTATTTAAGATTTACGATTTTTCCCCTACCCCAAAATGCTGAAAACTGAGGTCTCTTATGTGCTACTAGCTATGTTTGAGGAGTTATAAAGTGAGATTATGAAAGCCACATCACTTGATACCAGTAAATTGTGCTTGCACTAATTTTATGTGTACAAATATTGAGTCTTAAGATGTTTATGACACAAACTTTTTGAGATTTTCTCTCATAAAGAGGTCGATCGGTGCAAATTATCACCCTGATTTTTCTCAAAATGGACTCTGTATGCCCATTTTGCATTTCTTTCATGAAAGCAATACACCCACAAATGATCTAAAAGGTAGACAAACATACCAAGAAAAAAAAGTTATATGGATAAAATAAATTCTGCTCGTAATTTGTACCTAATTGTGGATTAAAATGTATCTTTATCTTTGGGTTAGGCATTATAAAGGCACTTTTTTGCCAATTTTGGGCCTATTTTGTACCGAAACCAGCATTTTGTCTAAGTTTTTTACTTTCGAGACCTATAAGAGAGGCCTTATATGGGTTGTACATATTAAGAAAAACTATGTTAACTGGTGTAACATGATTTGAAACCATAAATCTGCTTAATTTTTTGGGAAATGTGTCACAAAAAGTGGCTATAGGACAATAAAATCTTAATTTTCACCAAAATTTACGACAAATTTTGAGGAAATTTAGCTCTGATGGCCACTTTTAAGGAAATATATTTCCAATTTATTTATTTTCTGTTATACCATTCATCATTTTCCATGTACAACTTTTTTTTGTCTCCCTTGTGTATAGGAATTATTTTCCCTTTTCATTTTAATTAATTTTTTATGAGCTGGTTAAATATGCAAATGAGCTCATTAACATAATTTATTCATAATTTGACAATAAAAATCGCGACTTTCGGATCTTTAAAATGGTGTAACTTTGGAACCCCTTGACCAATTTTGATGATGTTGGGCTCATTTTGATCCTACGGCCAAGGCCTACACAACTAGCACTCTAACTAGTGGATATATTGTACTTGAAAAAATCATGTCACCACCCTATGTCAAGTATCTTTTGTAGATATCAACTGTTCACTAAAGTAAAGTGGTGCAAAATGATCTTGAGATAAGATAGATCTTACTTTCTTTTCCAGGAACACATACTATAAAATTCAGAAAAAGAAGCCTCGTAAGGTCCACATATACAAGCGGGCAGAATGGACTGGACTTAAAGAGACTCTACGATCTAAGTTCAGCGAATTCAAAGAGAACTATGAAAGTAGATCAGTTGAAGACAACTGGTCCTCCTTCAAATCTACATTAATATCGTCAATCAATGAGCACATTCCAAGTAAAACTCTAAGTGGGAAATTCAAAGTACCCTGGATTACCACCAGTACTGAGAATGATCCGACAGAAACAAAGACGATATAATGTTGCCAAACGTTCAAATGAACCTCATCATTGGCATAAATACAAATCACTACGGAAATTAATCCATAGTGAAATTCGTAAAGAACATCAGCGCTACATCAACGATCTGCTTGACATTGATGAAAGCGAAATCATAAATGAGAATGTTCAGCACAAAGGCATTACCAAACGCTTCTGGAGCTACATAAAGTCTAAACGCAAAGATGCATCAGGTATCAGCGTGCTGCGTAACAAAGATGGCGACGAAATAACAGACGCCGCCCAGAAAGCAAACATCCTCAATGACCAATACAATTCTGTATTCACAGATGAGGATGCCACTCTACCGACAATGGTACCTAGTCAAATTCCTGAAATGCCAAATATCAAAATTTCGACAAAAGGAATTCACAAATTGCTAACTGGCCTAAATCCATCAAAAGCCACTGGACCCGATCTTATTCCGACTAGGGTCCTGAAGGAATGCAGTGACAGCATATCACCATTCCTCCAAATAATTTTTCAACAGTCTATCGATGAAGGCTTAGTGCCTATGGACTGGAAACATGCCAATGTTACTGCTATCTACAAAAAGGGACGAAGAGATGAGGCTGTGAATTACAGGCCTGTATCTCTGACGTCAGTTCCATGTAAAATAATGGAACATATTATATTCCATCATGTTATGGCCCACTTTGACCTCTATGAAATTCTAGTAAAATTCCAACATGGATTCAGGTTAAAGCACTCATGTGAAACACAACTTGTCAATACAATAGAGAATATAGCCCGGGCCCTCGACAACAATAAACAAACAGACATGTTGGTATTAGACTTCTCCAAAGCGTTTGACACGGTGGCTCATGAACGCCTCTTGCTCAAACTCGACTATTATGGAATTCGCAATAATAGCTTGAACTGGTTCAGATCCTGGCTTGTGGGAAGATCACAACAGGTAGTGCTCGATGGTGAATCAAGTTCAAAAACTCCAGTAAAATCAGGAGTTCCTCAAGGAACAGTTCTTGGACCACTCTGTTTCCTTGTTTATATCAATGATATGGGCAATAACCTATCATCCTCAGCCAGTCTTAAGCTTTTTCCTGACGACAGCCTCTTATTCATGACAGTCGAAAGCAAGCAAGATGCATTAACACTACAGGAGAATCTTGATAAACTGGTCTCCTGGGCATCAATATGGCAAATGAAATTCCACCCATCAAAATGCTATATGTGCTAAATATTCACAAAGGTAAATCCCCTATCATTCACAATTACACCATGCTAGGGGAAAACCTTAAGTCGGTAACACACATCCCATACCTAGGAATTGACATCACAAATAACTTACGCTGGACTACACATATTCAAACTATTGTATCCAAAGCCAATAAGGTGCTTGGATTTCTCAGGCGCAACCTCCATCAATGCCCTGAAAAAGTGAAGGCTCAGGCGTATAAGTCACTAGTCCGGCCTAATTTAGAGTATGCCAGCTCGGCATGGGATCCATACTGACAAAAAGATATTGATATGTTGGAACAGGTACAGAGAAGAGCAGCCAGGTTTGTAACCAAATGTCACTCAAGGGAACCAGGCTGCGTCACCAAAGCTCTTCAAGACCTACAGTGGGAGCCACTGAAGGAGCGTCGAGAGGCTGCTAGAGTTTTCCTTTTCTACAAAGGAAAGCAGAACCTAGCAGCCATCGACGTGCCTCCATACTTCCGCCAACAGATCAATACCAACACTAGGTTCTATCATCCTTCTAAGTTCATACAACCATCAACTAGAACGGATGCATACAAATTTAGCTATTTCCCTAGGACAATAGCTAAATGGAACACTCTACCTGGTGACATCTTAGACTGTGACAGTCTAAGTAGTTTTAAATCATCATACTATGCCTATGTCAATAACTGCAATTAAATAGGAGTGTTTTTAATATAGATCTATGTTTTAATGTAAAGGGTCCCCAGTGCACAGCAACAAGCCTGCACTACTGGTAAAGAGGGGTGATGTCAACGCGGTAGCCTGACAGTCTCCCCAGGGTATTTCAACATAAAGGGACTTCCTAGGGGGTACAGGGGCCAACCAGGAAGGTACCTTTCAATTTTAAAATGAGTTGTAAACCATAGATCTATTTTTACTTTTAAATTAAAGATTTTAAATTATATTCTATTAAAATTCTATCACTGTTAAATTATATATCTGCTTTATATGGGCTTATTAGCCTTTTGCAGATTATTGACATAGACATAGACTATTAGTGCAATAAAAAAGTTTGTCAGATCGGAGGCTGTCTAACAGCACTGTCCTAGATATTGGACTCATAATTATACACGTTCCTGGGCCAGTGCACTTTACAAAACAGAAACTATTGCTCTCACCACTTATCCAGGGATTTGGTGGTTCCATGTAGCTTGCAACGATAAGGTCATCTGTGGGAAATGTAACACTTCTCCTAACTTTCCCATTTGTCTTTGAATTTGTGTCATTTCCTGGTTGTCTTTCACCAGCTGCCTGAATTTCAGACTCCGATTGCGAAGTTACAATGTTCTCCAGCTCCAACGCTGGGATACCAACATCTACATCGCTTCTAGACATTGTCTCATAACATAAAATAAAGAAGATAGCTTAATGCAACATATAATAAATCAAAAATATATTCGAAATTTTTCAATTTTCATCCATTTTGAGAATTTGTTCTTTTTTAAACTGCGCATGCGTCAATTAGCCTGAATTGTAACATCGATTTTGATTGGCTTAGAGATTGTAAATTGACAAACCAGAGAAGACGTTTCAAATGCAGGACCGCCATTTTTGAAAATGAAAATTTTCCAAATATACTATTTTGGTCACAAATTTACCTTACCCTTCATCGTTGTCTCACTTTTCTGAAGCAATCTGTCACTATATTTAATTCTGTGTACTTCAGTAAGTATCTGATACTTTTGAATTCTCTAAAACAAGCCAGAGTTCTCAGATTTTCCTCTTGATTGTCCATTTCCGGTTGATTTTTTTGTTTTTTCACGATCATGTTCAAACACCGAGGGCAGTGGTAAGCTTAATCTCATAACCTTGGCTAGTAATGCATCAATTATGTCATATATTGGGATTTGCTAGTAATTTTTTACATAAATGATAAGATTTACTATCGCTCATATTTTATCAATATCTGACTGGTTGGTTGACATGTTTGTTTGTTTTATTTTATATCCAATTGTTTTTTTCTTCTTCTTCTTAATGCCACCCCGGGAATGCCACCTCAAACAATTGACTTCATTTACCTTACTTCGGTCCAAAGCCTTCTCTACATTCCGGCTTTGAGTAGAAAGATTAAGCTGCCTTGGTATTGTAAATCATTGTGTCACACGCACAGTAAATACGGCATAATAATATGAAATATACCTCCATGTATAGACTTGAGAAACATCAGCACACATCTCCGTCTGAATCTATTGTTATATTTGATTTCTTTAAGCGAGAATAATTTCAAAGTTTCCTCCATTTATTCACGTCCGGAACCGGAAGCCATTTTTTAGCTACAGCGAGAAAATTTCACCATGTGTCAAACTCCGCAAAGAAATTTTGAAATATCTAAATCCAGACAAGCAACGCTTCATCCTAAATATAATTAATATTCCTAAAAAAATTTCTGAAATTTATCAAAAATGATTTCTAGGTGCGTGTAGCAATTTTTACGAGTACATACAAAATCAATGAAGTTACATAATAGCTGTAAGCTAGAGACTCGAGTAACATTTACCCATGGCATTGCTAGAGAATGGGGAGGCAATGCTGCTAGGTAATTGTCTGACACTCAGTGCTTCCAGGGTCCCATCCATGGGTCCCTTTAGTTCAACAAGTTAAACCCAATACCACAGCTTTCATTTATTAATCTGAATGTTATTGTTGCCGTGATTGGGTTTAACTTCCGTGCTATGCTTTTATTTGTTGCAAATTCTCACTATCAGTTATTAATTCCATGTGCTGCCATAGGCCACCATTCAATTTTTTGCATTAAGGGCCGAATAGGCACGGACGTTAAACCTAGGATGGGCCACAAGATATGTCAGATAAGAAATAAGGCCCAGACTAGGTTGAACTTGTTGAACTAGGGTCCCTTACATTTCATCTGCGTGCCTTTTTTCATGGAAATAGAGATTATATGCACAGCGCTTGCATTAGGTTAGAAAATTTGTGAGTCCCAAGGAGGCAATTTTTTTAAAAAAGTGTGTCCTTTGAAAAAAAGTGTGTCCCCTATTTCTAGTCATAGTTTCAGTTTTTGATTTCTTGCCGCGAATTTAAAACGGAAGTAAACGTTAAGTACGGACTGAATAAATGCATGTTCGTTCATTTGACAATGAATACATTTTGTTTCATGAATAACCTAATATTTGTTTCTGAATAGGAAAAACTGTGGCGTGTCATGGTTTCAAATCTAAAAATAAACAAAGTCGAAAAAATTCGAGAGAATCATGATTATTTGTAAATATTCAACATGTTGAGCGTTATTTACGATTCAAATAAAGGTGAGAGATCATAATTATTTGTTTTTTGTTAGGTATCGTTGAAAACACATTGTAGTATTGACCTAAAAAAAATTTGCGTCCAAAAAACGGAAATATTTTCAATTTTTGCGTCCTCCAAATTATTTTTGAGTCCTTAACATGTACGGGACGCCGTTAATGCAAGCCCTGTATGCATCAGTGTATAGTCAGATTCAAAATTCCAGAAACAACTTTTTAATCTAAAAAGTTATAAGCAATCAAAGGACCACATTGCAACAATATATGAAAAATAGAAACATGTAAAAGGCCTCACTTTTGTATATTTTGCTTTGTTTTATAGTTTTTGAAAAATTAACATGTCTGAAACTCCCTCAATTACAAAAGGCCACTTTACTGCACATTATACATACATGTAACTATCTAAAATATACAAAAGTGAAGGATGCTGTTCATTCATTTGTGTTTTTAATGTTTCAGATCAGAGCATATCAATTCAGCATAAAGTTACAACTGAACTGGTTGTTTACTAAATCAGCATGCCACCTAAAAAGGCAGGTAAGTATAAAGGGATTAACCCATAGAACCCATTTATCTTTTAGAAGCGATTTAAACATATGTTTTTCATCATCATTTTCAAATATGACATTCCAGCATATGTAACATCATCTCTGATCAAAAATATTTTAGCCAATCAAAATTGATGTTACATCTAAGTTATAATATTATATCAAACTTGTTGTTTCACTTAAATCGAAATAACTACTTTTTGGATTATGGAATTGTTCAATTGTGATGGAAAATCAAATCAGAATAATTTTTTTCATTTTGATGAAAGGTTTTAGTTAAGTGTCTCATGAAAAAACAATGTTTGGATTTGCTAACATGTTTCATAGTTGTCTCACTAAATTGCACATTTTATTATGACCATTTTTATTTTCATTTACATGTAGCTGCCAAACCAAAACAGCCTCGGGCCCCAAAAGGACACCAGTTGGCCAAGCCGTTCCCTGAGGGGGAAATCCTCGTTGATACCATTTTCAAAAAACGTTGGAGGATTGGTAAACCTGTTGGACAAGGAGGGTTTGGTGTTCTTTATCTTGGTAAGATGCATAGCTGTGTTCTTTATCTTGGTAAGATGCATAGCTGTGTTCTTTATCTTGGTAAGATGCATAGCTGTGTTCTTCATCTTGGTAAGATGCATAGCTGTGTTCTTTATCTTGGTAAGATGCATAGCTGTTCAAAGTATTAAAGAGGTATTCATGAACTAGCAATAGTTGATTTTAATAGCACCACCACAAGACATGGTGACATATTGATATAGCCTCTAACATTTTTTGTGGATGGTGTTCGGCAGTTGGTAGTTGGAGTTTGGCGGTCTGTGGTTGGCAATCTCTGTTTGTAAAAATAGAAACCATGCTCGAGACAATGTACATGTATTTTCAAAAATGGTTCCAGTTTTATTGTCAATTGTTGTGTCACCACCATGAAGTTGTGACATATTTGTGACACAATTTGTTGTGACTGCTGGTGTTCAGCATCAGCATATGTAACAATCGTCACTATTTTGTAGCCATTTGCTGGTGGTGACATTTTGTCATGATAAAGCCTTATTTGTTGCATCAAAGTTAATGGTATTGTTTTTCAAGAGTTTATTATATTTTGTAGGATTTGAAGATGGTACCCCAGCCACTGAGCCACCCTATGTCATCAAAATTGTAAGTGTTTCATATAAAGCAGTAAATTGTAAATCAAGTATGAGATTTTTTTTGATAATACAAACAATGTCTTCTCAACTGTTCTTTAGCACTTTTCATACACAAAATGCCAAATGTTTACCAAAAATGATGGAATTTCATTGAAATGATATAAAAGTAATATTATCTAATGTTATCTATTTTTAGACTCCTGTTGTCTCAACTGTTGTTAGACAAAGCAGTTGTCATATAAAAAATGCCAGATTATTGCAACTGAAATAATAGAATTTCCTCAAAATGATACAAAAGTCACCAAATTAGTAAAAATAGTTGCTGCTCAAACTTACATAATATTCACATTTTTAGGTGTTTAAAGTGGTATTAAAATGAAGGTTTTACTCTTAACATTGAGCCAATAAAAACTGAAATTTTTAAAATAAAATTTTGTATACCCTCGAGACTTTTCTTTGCCTTCTTCTTGGTTTATATGTTACACCATCCAGTAGGTCAAGGTCATGTTGTTCATATCGCGACGCTTCTATACTATAGGGGTCTCTCTGCAAATATAATGATTGATACACCTCTACCTGGAACTTGATAAGCTTTGACCCTTGGGCCTATATAATCCAGATCTATATCATCCATTTTGAGAATTTTGAGATGTAAAAGTTTGTAGCCATCAAACTAAGATAATTTTACCTCTTTCATGAGTTTGAAAAACAAAGAAAGTCTGATAAGCCCTCATAAGTCGTGTAGGAGTTTGTTTTTCATATGTTGCTTTCTCATATTCTATTGTACAAACAAAATCTTGACATTTAAACCTGTGTTTAGGGGGAACATCTTCAGCACAGTTTTTCACGTACTTACCAAACATCCTAACACTTTGAATGCTTTCACAAGGCCTAGCATCTTGCAGGAAGTATTTCTTTCCAAAGTTAAAGCATGTCGCTGTGGTCATACTTGGTTGAGTTCATTTTCTGTTTGATGTTAACTTAAGGGTCCCTGCATTTAGTGAGGAATTTGTAGTTGATCTAGTGGGCTATTGTGGTTGTTGTTACCCTTTGCATTCATTTGCGTTAGTTTAGAACTAGACTCTGAGCTCAGTATAGGTTCTTGTCTGACTCATCAATTCTTGTTTACTCTTCTACTTCTGTGTTAACGAAACGTAAAATTCTGTTTTGTAGAGTTCTTTATTTACAACTGTAGGGTATTGTTGCTCTCTTTTCTGGCTTATCTGTCCAAGACTGTACTCAATGTCCCATATCTGCTTTGTGTTTATAAAACATGAAAATGTACCTGTTTAAACTGCCATGTGTAGTAGCACTAGGCACACATACACCTTTGTGTTGTCTGAGGCTTATTCAAGTAACTTTGCCGTATATGAGTGCCAATTCTTAATGTCGCTTATCTCTTATGACCCCTCTACTTTTGATGTGGTCATTGTCAGGCTTGAATTGAATAAGACATTTTTTATTGGTGATGTGTTTTTTGAAATATTTTGTACAATAATTATAGATTTGATTTCTTTTTCTTCCTGCACTTGAGTTTGGAATGTTAATTATTTTATTTTTCATTTAAGAAGGTCACCTGTTATCTATATAAAATTGCAATAACTTATTGCGTTGTTTGATTCAAATGTCGGAACCTTACATATGTCTCAAGTTGGTTGGTTGGTTGGTATACTCTGATTGGTAGGAATTTTGAAACATAATCGTCATGAATTCTTTTTCATGGGAAGATAATAACAAGGATTTGGCGATCTAATCCTGAAGAAAATATTGCCTAGAATATTTGTAAAAAACGTATTAAGGTCATGTGAAATCTTTGCAAAACCAGGCATGTAAGCTTTTTTTCAAATTATTTAGAACTTAAAATATCAGATGATTATTTTTTCGTGGAAAACTGAGAAAAGGAACACTAACATTTTGCATAGGGAGATGGTATGTCAGATGTCAATGTAATTGTCCAATGTCAATGTGATTATTTTGAATTCTACATGATAAGTAATCACAGTGACTATTTCAAAATACATCGAAACCTATATATCCGAACATCAAGTGTTCTCCCCAGGATTTTTTCTCAAGTGGATGCGAAATTCTCATTTTCACAATTAAGTCCACAATTGGTCAAAATATTCCCATTTTACATGATTTTTCTCATTTTCAAGTGGGTGCAAATGAAATTTGAAGTTTGAAGAAATGAAGTTTTACTGTAAAAGAGTAAACAGTAGATGAGGGGGGGGGGTATCAAGTAATAACTGAAGATAGATATGTAAAAAATCAGTTGTTTGAAAATATTTTGGAATCCAATAGTTTATGAACTTCTCAACATTTAAAAAATAAACTGTCACGTCATCTTATTAATTTTTCTTTTTTGAAAATCTGTGATTTATTTATCTTTATCTCCCCCTGAAGAAGATAAGTCAATAAACTGATTTGTAAAATCAATCTTTATCTTAAGCATATCTAAGCAAACTTTGAAAACTTCATTCTTATTATGTCGCTTATCATTTTTGACCTAGTTATTAGTTGATAAAGTAACACTTCTTGTTAAATAGATAAAAGGACGAAGATGTTTGTAAACAAAGTATTAGATCATGACTTAAGTACTAGCACTACACATGGTGTAAATATTAAATTATTAAAATTGAAGTTTTGAGCACTCATAAGTACATATCTTTGATGTATCAATTATCAAAACAATGCAATAGTACTAATAATAGTACTTAACTAGTGCTTTGAAAACTTTCATATTTCTTTCAAATTTCTTTTTGCCATGAATCCAGTTTCCAAGTCATCTTCACCCTTATACTAAAAGGAGAGGAGTATAATCTAATAAAATAAAATAGATACAAATGAAGACATTCTGAGTTCTGACTGTAGGACATAGGTCATTTATTTATTTATTTATTCTATAAGTTTACCATGACAAATAGACACCTAAAGCATATATATTGGTACCATCATGTTGGTCTAAAGTCACATGCTAAAAGAGTTACTTAAAGAGAGAATCAGATCTAGCGAGCAGGCTAACAAAAAATTGTTCCAATTTTAGAATATTTCTGGATAATGTCATTCCTTTCATTTTATTTTCCAAAAAAAGTATTATTTTTCTATTAGAATGGTTACCATTCTTATTATTTGGAAGAATTTAAACATTTTTGGGAGATATTGTATTTGAGATTGTAAGGAACAGATTGGTAGGTCAATTGTACATGTTGCTTGTAATTTTGTCACCCCCATAGATCTGATTCTGCCTTTAATAATTTTTTCCAAGAGAGCCCTGATTGTTTTTGCATTAATCATACATGTTCCTTGGCCTTTGACCTTGTGACTTCACATCAAGAAAACATACATATATACCACCTGTGTTTAAGTGGAACTCCTTCGGTGGTACCTTAAAATAGTATTCCAATAGGTAACAGTAAATTTTTCCACTTTTGGAGGTGTTCCACTTATTATGTGCTCTACTTAATAAAAGGTTTTACTGTAATAATAATATAATAATTAATATGATATGATATTATAGTATACATATAATATAATAATGTACATTTTTTGATAAAAAAGTCCCATCCAGATATTATACAAATAATTCATACTATTAATATGATAATATGGACGTCTGGCATCATTTGAGTAATACAACTTTCTTGATGCCCTACGAAGGCAAGGGCTGCTACAGACACAGATATCCCTCAAAAATGAATGAAAATTACGACACTTTCCGATGGTCCTTTTCTGTGAACTGAACTTTTATATATATTTTCTTCTATTACTCCAGGTGCCATATTCGAATGACCCATTGTCATGTAAACTGAACTATACTATATTTTTTAACTTCAGGAGCCACATTCCAATGGCCCATTGCTCTTGAAACTAAACTTTAATTTGTATTTTCTATTACTTCAGGAGCCACATTCCAATGGCCCATTGTTTTGTGAACTGAACTTTTATCAGAGAGCCGCCAAACAGGATATGAGTAAGTAAAAGTATTAAATACAATAAAAGCTGTAAAAGTGAAACACCTTTAGTACCTCAAAATACTGTTCCATTTTGAAAATGTTTCACTTAGGTCAATTTTACATTATTATAACAAGGAAAGAGAGTTTGAGAATTGTTCCACTTATGTCTTATGGAGTCCAACAACTTTACAGGTTTCAATGAATATGAGGGTTGGAATTATCTTTTGACTTCTTCAATTGTGTATGTATCACGCAATAGTATTTAAGGGACTTACAATTAGTTTTTGTAACTTCTTTAAAGTATTGAATATGAATGCATTTGATAAATATGGCTACTAAATATTATAATTTTATTTTGAAAAGGCATGGATCAGATATAATGGAATTTGTAATAAAAAAGAATTTATATTAATTCATTATTCTGTTTGAAGGCAAACCTCAATTGGAATTTTTAAAGTTTTAATTTTGGCACTTGTCACAAAGTGTTGAAAATTGAGCGCATAATTTTAGTTTTTCAAAAAATGAATATCCAAGGAACAAAGCTTTTGGGGTCAGAATCTATCTCTGTATAAATGGACCATTTTTGATGCACGAGGATGCATGTAAAACATATAACATAAATTTTTTTCTATTTGTAGTAGAGGAATGGAGAAAGAGGCACAAACTGAAACATGTTGGGGTGCCACGATTTATTTCAACGGGGTCACATCAGCGAAATGGAACCAATTTCAGGTAGTTAGTCAAAATCTGCTTATATGGATTAACTCTTGGAATTTATTTGTGGTTTGACTGTTGCAAAACTTTTGAATCCATTAGAAGTTAGAAGTTGCGTTGAATTTAAACAAAAAAAACATGATGAATGCTTGTGAATCATGCACAAAATGTACAATATTTTCAGTTTTATTGTAATTTAGTGTCTCTTTGAAAATCTGTTCTCTATATCACTAGTACACAACAGAATAAAACTAAGAGGAGGACTTCATATCCAAAATGGCTGACATTTAAATTTATTTGATATCGGTAAACTTTCTATTTTAGCTAAGCCAAGAAAAACCTGGATTCCAAATAGTATTATCAATATCAAACAAATTTTGGCCATCATTTTGGATGAGACTAACTTCTGTGAGTGCCATCCTGCCATGGACAAGTGATTATGATGAGTTAACTGACATGGGAAAAACCTGATTTGATTTTTATATAAACATTTAGAACTTTGATAATACTAGCGACCTATGTCGTTTTATAAGCATCTTGTCTGGGAAGGCAAACCATGGGGATGTAAACCCTGAAACAAAATCCTTACTCCATTGTGATAGCATGTTTCAAAAGGAAAATCTCTTATATTTAGACAGGTGAACCTATGTATTTTATAGGTACCTTGTCATGGAGCGTTTCAATGGGGACCTACAGCAAGCATTTGAGAAAGCAGGAAAGAGGTTCCCTAGGAAGACAGTGTGCATGTTGGCAATCAGAATCGTAAGCTTTTAGATATAAATAATGATTCCCATTCGCTCAGGAACAACATTTTGTTTCTGGTCAGCAGGGTTTAAAAGTTTGGACCTGTCAGCAAAAATGTTAACTCTCCCATGTATACCGTTCCGTATTTGTGATCGTGATGACATTAATACGGAATAAATCATACCATTTCATGAAAAATGGTGACCTTGTCCTGCGAAAATTGATATTATGTTTCACAGCAAGTTCGCACGGCGATACTGTATAGCACATGATCTGGGGAATTGATTCTACTTTCTATAGACACCAAACACGTCTCTGTTCATAGAATAACAAAAAAGCCTTCGGGCCCCAACCTCCTTTGTTTATATTTACATAAACATGAAAAAATGACAAAAGTTGTGATAACTTTTTAAATCCAAATCTGTTTAAACCGATTTCACTTGCTAGCGACAGATACTTTAGTTTTTAACGGACCGAACATGTCAGTTTGGTTCGTAATATCTCCAAATAAACCATTTCAACATTTTGAAAAACTCGATGCTAGTCCACGTGTTAATATGGAATGTGTAAACGGTTTCCAAGTGTTAATACGTAATGGGTGTTAAATCGTAAAAATTCCCGGGGAAATCACAATTTCCACAAAACTTGCAATGATAATTGTTCTGATAGCTTATTGATGGACATTGGACAGTATCTTATTGCATGCAAAAGGCACGTTAACGGACGGCGGCAACACGTCCGTCAATCGCAAGGATTGAATGTACATAAATAGTGTTCTCTCTTTTCTTAAGTATTAAAAGATAAGTTGTACATCGACGGCGTCAACGCAATAGCTTTACTCCCATTATAGTGAAATAGGTTGCTGTACTTTTTATCGCACCCTGAGGTGCTATATTGTAATCAGTTTGCCGGGCGGTTGGGCGGTTGGTTGGGCGGGTGTGCGGGCGTCTGAATAATCTTTCTTAACAGGTTTCCAGCCAAACCATTTGAGGGATTCATTTGAAATCCCCAGGGATGTTTCTACCTATGAAAGTTTAGAACTGATTAGTTTTTCGACAATCTGGATAAATGTTAAGACAGCCATTTTGGATTTTCCGTCCTAAAATCTTTTCTGTCAAGGCTTGTCTACAGGTTTCCAGCCAAACCGTTTGAAAGATTCATTTGAAATTCTCAGGGATGTTTCTACCTATAAAAGTATAGAACTGATTATTTTTTCGGCATTCTTGGTAAATGTTAAGGCGGCCATTTTGGATTTTTCGCCCTAAAATCGCGTCTGTGAAGGCTTGTTTTAAAAAATAAAAAAGAATTTCCCAATGAGAGCAATGTTAAATTAAAACATTTTTTTTAGAAATAACTAAACGGTCAATCTTTCCAATTTTCACATATTTTGTAATACATCAGTATATCTTTTACCAAGATTTTTTCAGGAAAATCTGAATTGTAGAAAAAAGCTGATATACTGTGAAGTTATACCTTAAAACGTGGCTCTTGAGGGTTGTCGACAGGTTTCATGGATTCATCCTAAAATTTTAGAGATGTTTCTTTGGAAAGTTTAGAACTGATTAGTTTTTAGGCAGTCTGGGTAAATGTTAAGGTGGCCATTTTGAATTTTCCATCCCGAAAAGTGTATTCTGTTCAAGGGTGCGATTCTGTTCACCCTGTGGCTTGTTCTTATTGGATCTAATAGGTAGTAGTTTACCGACGGCTTCAACGCAGCAGCCTGACGTCCGTCAACACCAGGTATTGGTTGTTCATAAACATTTTCATTCTTTTTTATTATTGTATATAACAAATAATTTCATCCCTTTATGTAACAGTCTATGTGAGGACGCCAACTGTTTGGCTTGAAACACAATAACATCTTGAATCTTGTATTACATGTAACCACACCAATTCTTGTGGATAGAATAAACATGATAATAAAAGCACCCCATTAAAGTCCCTGTAGGTGTCATATTATTTGGTACTTTGTGAACGTGTTGAGTAGTTTTCTTACTTGCCGATTCCCCCAACATGTTTCCATTGCACCAGAGGATGATTGAATTTTTAAAAATGGACAGTAAGTCGCATTGTCTTTGTGAAAGTGGGCAAGACCACAACAAAAGTGGATACACCACATTTTAGAAAGACAATTAGTACCAAATGAGGTTAGCTGTCCATTTGTTCATTTTAATTTAATACAGCAAAATGAAGCTTTGAAACTAAATGCCAATGCTACTGAAACCCGTATTCAAGGTATTATGTTTCATACCCCGGGTTGAAACATACTAATATTGTATAACACTACTTATTATCTTAATTGCTTCATTTCATTCACGAGTGCACCGCTTCGTTCATTGAGTTTACTTATTGAGTCAACCAATTCCGTATTAACACGTGGACTAGCATCAAGTTTTTTAAAATGTTGAAATCATTTATTTGGAGATATAACGAACCAAACTGACATGTTTGGTTCGTCAACGACTAAAGTATCTGTCGCTGGCAAGTGAAATCAGTTTCAAGAGTTTAAGATTTAAAAAGTTATGACAACTTTTGTCATTTTTCACGTTTTTGTAAATGTAAACAAAGGAGGTTGGGACCCTAAGGCTTTTTTATTATTCTATTGACAGAGATGTGATTGGTGTCTATAGAAAATAGAATCAATTCCCCAGAGCATGTGCTATACAGTATCGCCGTGCGAACTTGCTGTGAAACATAATCTCAATTTCCGTAGGACAAGGTCACCATTTTTCATGAAATGGTATGATTTATTCCGTATTAATGTCATCACGACCACAAATACGGAACGGTATACATGGGAGAGTGTTAATATTTTCCAAATAACTGAACACAAGTTGTGAAAAGGTTAAGATTTTGAATATCTCATGGTATAGGACAGTTTATTGTGGCAAAGTTGAAGGGATAGTCAGCATTGTTTCTCACCTAACTTGTTCACCATTTAGCATCACCCAGTTCAGATAAACATCAACATCTTTATATAATCAGTATACATGTACATGTATTACATGATCAATTTTCTCAATTTTCCATGAGGGACCAAAGTCATTGAGGGATCTGCAACATGTATCCTTTGGTGTACAAGCTCATGCATTATATAAAGAGGACTCTGATTTAGTTATCTAAAAGAACCCCACTGACTCTCATTTTCTTGAAATTGATTCCACAACCCCAGTGACCAAAAACAAGAGAATTTGCTGTAATAAAAAGTCTAGTTATTGGATAAGCCATCCTCCGATCACAGGGCTTCAAAATCCAGAAAATTTATGTTTTTACCCCCTGCGATAAGCAGTTAGCATTTCCCCGATTAAGAACTCGCAATCTGATTGGCTGTCGCAACACTGCGACAGATATCATGTATAAGTCATTGCGGATAATTAGATCATGTGATTCAGTTTAATTGGGCCTTTCCAAATTGGTTATAGCAGGGGGAAGAAGGAGGTACGGATCCTGGACACCTGCTTAGGAGAATGTTGATAAGCTAGGTGAAAATATATGAATCAGATTAGTTACTCAGCTGTATAATAGAAGAATGTTTTTTATCCCATTGAATGAAGTTTAATAGGGATTAGACTGTTCTGCCATTATATGTTCTGTCATTGTCCGACTATTAACTGACCACATTTGTGTTGTCATTGTAAACACACCGTTCTGCTACATTATATGTTCTGTCATTGTCTGACTATTTATTGACCTTATTCGTGTTGTCATTGTAAACACACCGTTCTGCTACATTATATGTTCTGTCATTGTCTGACTATTTACTGACCTCATTCGTGTTGTCATTGTAAATGCACTGTTATGCTACATTATATGTTCTGTCATTGTCTGACTATTTACTGACTTCCTTTATGTTGTCATTGTAAACACACCGTTCTGCTACATTATATGTTCTGTTATTGTCTGACTATTTACTTACCACATTTGTGTTGTCATTGTAAACACACCGTTCTGCTACATTATATGTTCTGTCATTGTCTGACTATTTATTGACCTTATTCGTGTTGTCATTGTAAATGCACTGTTATGCTACATTATATGTTCTGTCATTGTCTGACTATTTACTGACCTCATTCGTGTTGTCATTGTAAACACACCGTTCTGCTACATTATATGTTCTGTCATTGTCTGACTATTTACTTACATCATTTGTGTTGTCATTATAAACGCACTGTTCTGTTACATTATATGTTGCGTCATTGTCTGACTATTTACTGACATCCTATGTGTTGTTGTAAAACTCGTTCTTTCATGTTCTTGTTTTTTCATGAAGATCTTCTTTACCTCCCTTTGAAACAAAGTGTGGCTAAATGAGTAAATAATCGGATTGATGGTGCAATTTGCAAAACCCATCCATGAAGTGATCTGGAACACTGTTCCAATGTAGTTTGCAACAATACGTAGACGTTTTAACAGTGAATATATATGAACTGGTGCCCAACATATGAAAAATCCAAACGACACAAAAATCAGTGTACGTATAACAATATTTCTGCTTTTAGACATTTGTTGCTCACGTTGAGATGATCCAATTTTTAATTTTGATCCACTGTGAATCATATAGACAATTCTGCTGTAGCAATATACCATGATGCAAATTGGCATAAAAAATTCAACAACAAATATGTATATGCCAAATATTTGTTGGAACTGTTTACTTGGCCATTTTGACCACAGAGAGCATGTTGTTCCATTTAAGATAGAATTCCCAATTTGGTAGCTTTCATGTACCAAGCTTATCACCCATAGAAGGACTATAACTCTCCAAATAAGTTTCTTCGAGATGTGTTTCCTGTAAAATAATGGGTGTACCAGAGAAATGTACCTCTCGATGGTTATCGCTTCAAGATTGAATGTTGAAATTGCAGCTAGCATCCATGGAACATACTCCGACAGCCAAAAACTGCAGACGAAATTTGCCAATAGGCCTTCTTCCTTTATCCAGTCCATACCATCAAATATTTTGGTCAATAGTATTAACAACGAAGCCAACATGTCAACTAAGCTTTGATTTATAATCA